CTAATAATTTCAAGAGTTTTGGTTAGGTTAGGTTTGCATAGACAGTATGATATGTTATGTTATATGTTAGTTGAGGTTAGGTTAGATTTGGAAATTTTTGTCTAGTTCTAATAGTTTGAAAAACTTTATTTTAATTTTTCTAAAAATAATTTACTAATTTTTGTTAGTATTTTAAACAATTTTAAATTATAATAAAATATTGTAGCATTTAAAAAATTATATAAGTGTGAGAGGGAGGGAGAGAGAGAGAGCTTATATAAACAGTGCGTTTGTGAGACAAGAGAGGGAGACATCGATGCGTTGAGAAAACTTTGAGATTTCATAACAGGTTTCGTAAAAATTGCACAAATTTTTTAGAGAAAGGGTTTTGCATTCATAGACTGAATAATACAAATTGTATGGACAATACTACAGGCAATTTTGCTCTCGTATTACTTTGCGAGTGGGGGCACAGGGGACAGGGATGTCAATAGTATATTATGTGATACAATGAAAATTGTCTATTTTCTGTATCTATTATACAATTTTAACATTTTTGTGGGTGTTTTGATAAATTAATTTTTATTATAACTTGACATTAATTTAGTTTACTTAATTTGTTATTGAGCTTGGAGTTTGGGGTGCATGTTATTTTATAAAATAATACTTGGTACTATATGAGAATAGTTTATATTTTATTAGTATTAAATTACATAACTATACTGTATGTATGCTACAATCTATGTACAGTATTATACTGTATATTTTTATTGTTTTACAATAATTAATATGTTATATAATACTGAAAGTGATTTGTAATTAGAGATTATCTGCAAGTTTATGTAATGAGACATTTATGCATTCAATAGTATAATAGAAATTTCGCGATTAAAGTAATTAATTAGCTATTAATAGCAGAAATGTTAATCAAAAAGTTTTATAATAAAGTTATAATATATAAATAGCAATATATTGCAATATATAACTATAATTTGTTGATAAAAATAATGGGATAATAGTTCCACAGCGCCTACACCTTCAACTCAACATTTAATACTGTATTAAACTTTTCTTAATTTATAATTCAAATAATTTAAATCACTTTTTAAAATAATTTAATTTAAAATAAATGATTTTGCATTACATGTAATTGAAATAATATTTAACTCATATTAATTAATAAGGAATTAATTTACTTTAAACCTTGCTTGCTAAAAATTATTTAATATTTTTCTGATAATTCCTAATAATTTGCTATTTTTTTAAAACATTAATTATGTAATTCATATTTAGTGTAATAAAATAATTTCTAATTGCTTGTAAATATAATTTTAAACCAGATCCTAGTATATAATACGTATATTATGCAATAAATATGATATATTTCATAATAAATATTTCTTACAATATTTATCTGATTAAAAATCATAAATATTTTTGACTAATATTTATATATTTTGTGAAAATTATTTTTAATATCCGTAACCAACATTTTTATTGAATTTAATATTACTTTTGTAGACAATAACCCATAATTAAGATATAAATGAAATGAAATAATTATGTGTACCATAAATATTATGATAATAAAAGTGTAATAGATATCAAGGGTTATTCAAATATTACCGGGATTATAATTTCATTGTTACAGTAGTTGTTATCAAGATCGTTCTCGAGTATCCGCTAACAAATGTGTATACAGTATATGAAAATTAGTGACTGACTATTGGATACAAAATTCAATATCAGATTATTAACACAAGTGTCGATACATTTGCTATAATTTTTGGAGTAATTGTTAGGAGAGAGAGAGAGAGAGAGAGAGAGAGAGAGAATAAGATTTATTATTATTAGACTTACACGNTCAATCCAAAATAATTAACAAGTTATTCAAAAAATTCTTACAATTCTTACATCAGATTCACTATTTGGAGAGAGAGAGAGAGAGAGAGAGAGAAAGAAAGAGAATTTGGGGGAGAGAGTGAGCTATCATATAATATGGGCGAAAGAGAGCTATTGAATAATATTGAGAGAGAAATTGACTCCACGAACGAGAGAGACAACGAGAGAGCCATTTAATTCCTGGAGTCAAGTGTATTGTGTACTACAATGGAGTCCATTATATACTCCCCGATAGTGCGGAGTGAATGGCGAGAGAGAGAGAGAGAGAGAGAGAGAGAGAGAAATATGTAATAAAATGTGCAAAAAAATGGCATAACATTCATGAGCAGCACTGGCATGTCTTTGTATTTAATCTATGTACACGTATTACGAGGAATATACGCAAACGCCCGGCCATTATACGCCGGGTGCCCGACGTATATACCCATACTATGGTATAAGTCATGGCTACCTAACGCTATGAGTGTTATTATACGTAGAGTGCAAAAAAACACAATCTATTTATAAATCTAAGCGTTATTTTCATTTCATTTATAAAAATTTGTTTTATTTTTTAAGTGAAAGTAATTTAAGAGCGAAAATGAGAACACCGTTCACTCGGAGTATGGCTTAAAAAACGGACTATTATTTTAAAAATATATATATAAATGAATGAAATTACTTATATATACAGTATATACGTGAGAGCGAGAGAGTCGAGCCGAGAGAGAGAGAGAGAGTCACGAGAGAGCTATTGGATAACATGCGGGAGAGAGCACCGGGAGAGCGAGAAAAATAGTTTTACAAAAATATATGTATATATATATATATAAATTGGGTGAATGGCCTCCAGTGAACTTTCTCTCAACAGGTTCGTTCACAGTCTCTCTCATGCTCTCTCTCACTGGCAATACACTGCTCTCTCTCGCACACACAAACCCTCTCCCTATAGCATACCAGTGCACACCGACAGCCCTCTCATTTCATACAGAGTCCAACAGCCCCTCCATACCACTCCATACACAGTGCATACACACCGCGCCGAGTGAATAGCATAGGCATAGCGTGTATGCGAGTGAACTCACTCTCCCGCGAGAGAGTCTATGGGAGAGTGTATGCGGGAGTGGAGTGGAGTGGTAATAGCAAACACATACACACACACAGCAACAGCACATACATGCTGTAGTATGAATCGGTCGTACGAGTGCATTGCTCCCAGTGCTCACCACACAGAGTGCAATGTACCATCAATGAACCTAACATTACAGCGCATATACACTGTACACAGTGTGTGTATGTGTGAGTGAGTGTGTGTATGCGAGTGTGTGTGTGAGTGAAAAAATATATATACAGTACACACAAACAAATAGCTTATATACTATGGGGCATATGTGTGAGTGGCCGGGGAGGGAGTGTGGGCGCCATGGGATGGCTATGGGAGAGGGTTTCTCGGCGAGAGAGAGAGAGTATAAACTGTCGAGGGTCAATATATTTTTATAGCCTCCCAATATATAAATGAGAAACAAAAAAATAACATTTGTGTAAATACAAGCAGGGTAGTTGAGATATTTTTTTTGTCAAATGTTCTTGACGTTTGAACTGAAGCTATGTGTTCATTGATATAATTAATGGATTTTTTAATACATAGTTAGGCATAATAGAGAGGTTTGTAGCTAGGTGAATGTGATATCATCATATGTTTTGTACGTGTGATAAATCGGTGGAATATTTACGATATTTAAATGACATTTATGTGGCAAGCTCGCTTATGAGAGATAATTATACCTATAGCTAAAATATATTTATTGTGTATGGGTAGTTTATAAAAACAGATAATTTTTATGTCCAAAAACACATACCTATAGTTTCGTATAGTTGTTACAAGGTGTATGTCCACATAAATAATCCCATAGATATATATGTAAAACTGTAGTCAACGTTGCTCAAGTCAATTTTGTTTTTTATAGTTTGGCACTCACACTCACAACAAACCAAATTGTACCATGTTAAGTTAGTCGCGTAAAATATATATACTATATTAACTTTTGTTATGAATATAAATGCACACAATTATATTGCACGTCACAGGGGTATCACACATACACAGTAATCCATACACTAGTCCCAAGTAGCATGGTAGATTGTGTTTTTTATGTACAAATAATAAATATTGAATAAATTATTAAATACAACGAGAGAGACACACAAAAAAATTGTTCACTATATCGGAGGTATTGAGTGTTAGAAACAGAGTATAAATAATATTATTTATCGACAAAACATTTGTAACGTGTGTTTGAATGAAGAGAAAGCGTTGACTCTATGGTTGTGAACGAGAGTCGAGTTGAATGCACACTGACTGAGAGGCATACGTACGGACCGATACACACAGAGCGTAGACACAGCGCAAGTCCATTCACATCGTGTGTATGTACCCCAACCCGCCGTACGTACGTATGTACTCACTCTTGGGATCTCTCTCTCTCTCTCTCTCTCACCAAATAGTGAATCTGATGTAAGAATTGTAAGAATTTTTTGAATAACTTGTTAATTATTTTGGATTGAAAAATATTCCGTATACCTAGTTTCTAGTATGATTTATAAAATTTTATGAACGTAGATTGTTTATTTAATGTTACATGAAAAGTTATTTATGCATTTATTTATATCGGATTGTTTACAAGTTTTAATCATTTTTATTATATTTTTTATGTGTGTGTGTGTGAGAGAGAGAGAGAGAGAGAGAGATAAATCTATTGACACCTTATTAAATAAAATATGTATTTTAATTAAAGACCTTTAAGTGAATCTTATAAACAAAACACTTATAAAAACAATACTTTTTATGTTTTATGAAAGAAAATACTCATTAAAATAATTATTAAAATACAAATCAATTGATAGATTATCTGTTGATTAGAAAAATTGTTTTTAATATTAAAAATTGAGTTTTATATTTAAAACATAACGAAATTTGATTGACATGTCAGATGGTGTTTGTGTCACCAGTTTTGTCGACCAGAAAAACAATAAAAATTCATTTTTAAAATACTTTTTCTCATTAAAATTTCAATTCATTTCTATTGCAAACAAAATTACAATTAATTTCTCGCAAAATATTCAAAACATTCAACCATTCAATGAATATTTCATTCAATTTCGACGGCAAAGTAGTGTTAATTACGGGCGCCGGCAGTGGTATCGGCGCCCAAACGGCCGCACAGTTCGCCAGAGCGGGCGCTCAGGTAGTCATCAGCGGTCGCGACGGGAATAGTGTGAGAAAAGTGGCCAAAAAGTGCGATTCCGTGTCACCGGGAGGTCTGCGAGCGGTGGTAGTCGTGGCAGACCTTACCTCCGAAGTGGACTGCTTTCGGGCTATTGAGACAACTGTCCTATCGGTGGGCAAACTACACGTTTTGGTGCACAACTCGGATATGGTGTGGCAGTCGTGTCAGATAAATGACCCCAAGTTTGTCGACAATTATAAGCATATTATGGAAACCAATTTGAATTCATTCGTATATTTGACGCACTATTCAGTCAAGTATTTGATGCAAACGACGGGCAATATTGTGAACAACACTAGTATTGTGGATATTGTGTCGGTATTGCTATTCATTGGCGTAATAGTCCGGTAGCCGCGAGGGGTTGGGGTTTAGGGCTAATGGAGTTGTGTTTTTAGATTTTTATTATTAATGGGTTTCTATTTAACAGTTATTGCATTTTATTTGTGTAATTTAGACGAGAGAGAGAGAGAGAGAGAGAGAGATTATATTTATTACTTTATATATCCTATCATAAAATGTAATGCTATTTAATTTAATCACTACATAACATACCTATGATTATATAGCAATAATTATACTTATTAAATCAATAAAAATAATTAATATTGCTTTTTATATGAATTTTAAGTATTGAATCTAAATATTAATTGATTGTATTTCGTATATTTGATGGTAGAGTCCCCTAAACTCGCCCAACTGTATGGCCAAGAGTGCGCTGAATGTGTTCACGCAATACCTGTCCACTCAATTGCAATCAAAGGGCGTTCGCGTCAATTCAATTAAGTACTACTCGTATATATTCATTGATTAAATACTAGGCTTGCATACCATTCCCCTCGTAATATATAAATAGGCATATGCTATATACCATACTCCATGATAATGATAATAATTATTAACATTTTTAATTAAAAAAGTTTTATGCATTACATTCAATGTTAGGCACACATAGTGTATACGCGCTGACAAAATGTTGCAACTTTTGCGGTAATTAATTGCGGTTTTAGTTTAATTATTGTTAATATAATGCACTGGGACTGGTAGTTAGAGTGATCGCACATGTATGTATGTGTGTGTGGGTTCAATCGCCTACGAAAATGAATATTTTCATATGAATTGTGAATAAAATTCTGTGTATAATGAGGGCTATTGGGCCGATGGACTGTCCCATTGATGGGCCCATAACCCCCGCGACCATTGACCTCAATGTGTTTTTTTTGTTTATTATGATAGCCAGTGTTGGGTATCCAGGGCTCAGGTAGCAATAACCCCAACCTCCCTGATGGGAATTAAGTGGTGTTTGATAGGCATATTGGTGTGTGCAGTGTATTGGAGAGATTATCTGGCGATAAGCTGTTAAGCCTAATGTCAATACAGTATTAATGATATGTTAGGGATTGGCGAGAGAGAGAGAGAGAGAGAGCTATTGACACCTCATTAAGATAATTATGAATCTTTAAGTGATAGCTAATGCAGAAAATGTAATGCATTTTGCAGTGAAACAAAGGACTCATTAATACATTATGAAAATTATATACATAACCGATAGTTATGTAAAATAAATCAATTGTTTTTGTGATTATCTATTGATTAGAATTAAATCATTAGATACAGTCGTTATCACATACTTTTAAAAAAACACTTTTAGTTTATTGTTTCGCTTTAAAAATATTTAAATATTTTGTGAATTATATTTTAAAATTTAGTTTTCGAGAATATACTGAAATAGTATTTAAGTTATTAATATTTAATAGTCTATTGTATGTGGGTAGTTCAGTAAGTAGGTACACAGAGAGGTTAACTTGTTTCATAGTAACTATGGGTAACTTATTGTGTAGGGGTTTAATTTTTGATTACATATTTAGTGATTCACCTATGTAACTTATCTAAATTTGTGTACCTTTTTACGGCAATTAGCCCTGGTGGTTCCCAAAACAATGTTCACCTGTACACCAGCATTGAGGCCATGATGAACAGCACATACACTCAACTCCGTAATGTATCGAAAACGGCTGTCCCCGTAGATGATATAGTGAACGGCATACTATACCTGGCCAGTGACCAAGCTACCATGGTGAACGGGTTCAATTTTGTGGCCAACTGTTGCTGCTGCCGGTGCTTTTCCGACGAGCTCCGGGCCTTTTACTACATAAATAGTAGCAATAATAGCGGGAAATGTAGTAAATTTTTCTGAACTTTTTTGAGGAATTTTGCTATACTTTTGGGATTTTATTGAGTTTCTAATGATTTAATAAGTTTTTAATTAATGTTTTAAAAACTTTTTTATTGTCTCTTAAATTACAATAAAATTACAGATTTGTTGATCGCATGGAAATGTTTTAGAGGGACTCCGATGTCTCTCCCATTTTGTTATATCGTATTAAAACGTTAATGTATTTATGATTACATTGTATTTTGTATGATGTTTTCGCAATGTTCAATGGGAGTGGTAGTCCGTTGAGAGCCGGGGCTGACAGGTGTGAGTGGTTTTTGTTTGTCCAGATTTTTATGTGTCGTTTGTTAAGTATTTTTGCTTTTCAATTAATTTATAAACTTTTAAAATAACTTTTGAACAATAATATTTTTATAACTCGATAATTTTATATTAAATAATGTGGCTATATATCCATAAATAGTCTAATATCCATAAAATTGAAAATAGCCTAGCTTAATTTATTATAAAATCGTATTTTTAGTTTTAATTTATAATTAATAATATTAGATTACAGTCTGTTAATTAAGTTTCATATTTATAAGTTGTATTATAATTCAATTTATTAGGAAAACAGTGTGAATATATTTATTTACAATTTTAATTTAATATGTTAAGTATATGATCCAAAAACATCAAACAGTATTTGAAATATGATTTCCATATGTAATTCACTCCAGTTTCGTTATAATTTATATTTTAAAGCTTTGCATTAAGAAATTATATTTTTAATTTATAAATAACTTTATTGGATATCATATTATTGAATGCAGCGAACGAAAAGTGGACTCAAATGTTCACAAAAAGTTTTTATACATTTTGAATCGACCAAAAAATATGAAAAACCAGATTCAAAAATGCGATATTTGCGTGAATTTACACTCGCTTATGATATAAACCGGCTATTATTTTACAAATACCTGCGCGCATACAACACACCTGTATATCATATTTTTCGCACATTAATAATAAAAGGCTTATCAAGTCAATAGTGTACAGTACAGCTTATAAAAGTTTATTCAAGTATATTAAAAACCTGAAGTCGACTGTATTATTATATACAGCCGAAAACAAGTCTCTGAGAAAATACCATTACATACCTGTAGTGTGTATTAAAGTGACAGAAAAAACAACTATTCGTACAGTTTTTACCATACATTCAATCAACACATTGTATTCACATTTAATTCTCACCTTTAAGTGAGTCTCTCTCTCTCTCGCTCTCTCTCTCTCTCTCTCTCTCTCTCTTACGGACTCACTCTCACACTACAAGCTATTGATTATAAGTTTTATCTCTTATTGTATGAAAGCGTTTGCATTGCTGACTGAAATGAGAGACGAAAAACATATAATTTTATCGATAGTTTGCTTTCATATATGAAATCTCATTGTCTGAGAGTTAGTATACTTTGATATACGATACCCGACTACCGGTGCTGCTGCTGCTCATGATGTTTACGCTTTTGCCATCATTTCACAGTCCAATTGACTCTTACTGTCAATACAATGAGGGGGTGAGTTGTGGGAAGGGGTTGAAAGGGTTTAGGGCTCGTATGGCACGTGTGTTGCAATAATGTTATATAATATTTGTCGAAAACATTTGCAATAGTAGTGTAAAGCAATGAAAAATGTTTTAATTAGTTATGTTCACTATTTGTTTATGTTGTATAATGTGTATCACTAGTAGTATGCATTTCATTAGAGTACAACTATATTTAGACTTATAATTAAAGTAATTGTAAACACAATATTTTAACAGAATATTCCGGAGATTATTTATCAAGGTATTTATTTACTTATTAAAGTTCATATTCTTGATGGGGAATTTTTAAAATATTTTTACCAATTTTACTGTAATTTAATTTATTTTATCGATAATAATTATTAGTGATAAGAATTATTATATTTAATATTAAATATACTGGGTGTTTATTGTAGGTGAAAAATTCCCATACATTTCATTTCAACTGTTTATAACAATCCAAACAAATAAAGTCATGTTTTTGTATAAGATGTGGAAGTTTTTGATAAATGCATTTCAATCCTAAGTGTAATTATATTTTACAAATAATTTACATTAAGAATATTTGGGACAAAATCAAAAGTTATTCATTAATTGTGTTTTGCATTTATGTTTACAATTAGTGTACATCATGTACAGTATATATATATATAGATAATGTGCGAAATATTCATTATAATGAACGCAAAAATAAAATTTTCATTGTAATATTGTGTATATATATCACTGTATTAGAGCCTATTATTATATAAAGTGTATTATAATTATTACATAATATACACGATATACATAATCTAGGCAATTATTTCTAATTTTAAAATGCTTTCATTTTCTATTTTAAAAGTACATTAATGATATTAGTGTACACTATAATGAATATTAATGATGCTTTTTCGCTTTCTAAACAAATGTAGATTAATTATTATCTGACATACCTGTATAATTTATACACAGTATATATTGTATATACGTTACTCTATATTTAATTTAATTTTAAAATACAAAAATAATGTTCATTTACTATTTTGTGTACAATTATATAACTGTATAGTGTGTGTGAGTGGTATGTATATCCAAAAATGCTCTCAACAAAAAACTAACTGTTAATCCAAATATAGTATAAATGAATAATAATTTTCACGAAAAAACACATAGACTTATATTGAGTTTAATATTGAAAATTCCCCCGAATAAAAATATAAATATTTCACTAGCTGTATGTAAGTTAGCAATAATGTAACCCAAAAAATATTTTTCCAATAATTACATACCCGGCCCGACAAATTGGGAATTATATGTATTTTTTAATATAAATATAGACTATAACTACCCATAGCTCAGGGAATATCGAAAATAAAAGTAATTTTTATATTATTTTAAAGATCATCGATAAGAGTGAGAAATATATATATAAAGTATTTATAAATACACGGCGAGTGCGAGGGGGATAACCACTTATATAAACGTGTCATACGTATCGATGTACAGGGTAGTACCGGGTATAGGTACTAATTAGTTTTAAATTATTTAAAAATTAATAATCAATTAAAACTACCAAGTAGTAAATATTTTACTGCACGCATAATTAATTTTATTTAAATTAATCAAGTGGTGAGTATTTATGATACTAATTAAATTGTATGTAACTATAATGAGTGTTAGTGTGTATATATACGTATAAATATAGCAAATATATACAACTTATTATATAAGAAAAGGGGGTAGGGATTGCACAAAAATAGGTCAAACGTAAAATAGCTAACTAAGTGGGTATATGCAGTGGTTAGGCTACTAGTGCCGTAGGTGGGGGTCCTAAACCGCAGCA